CCAAGTATTGGGGAAAGGGAAATTAGGGATATTCACTGTAAATTATTTGACTTAAACTCTATTCAACATGTAATATATGGAAGGAGGTTGGAAGAATGAATATTGTGATATGGGGAATGGAAAAAATGATGTAGATGGAGAGATATGGAAAATTAGGAATAGAATGTACCCCTAATGGAGTCGCCAAAAAATTGTAGGGAATCAAGTCATCCCACACGTGAGCCCCACCGTGATCATACACTTAAGCATGGTGGCGTCCAAAGGCAAGGAAGATAGAGCAAAAGAGTCGGCAACAAGTTTTAGGAACATGTAAACCGTTCACAGGGTGAAGGTTACACCCCTTAACGATCGAGAAGATCGTTAACTCCAATAGGTCTGGAACCATGACTGGAAGTTCGGGGATGAAGGTACAAATCCAACCTAAAAGAGACTGAACTTGCCCAAATAATAGGCCTCTACTTTCTTCTTCTCGTATTCATGTGCGCTTTCTGACTAACATACAATCAATAGATTAACCCTAAACCTGTTTATCTATGTTGGTTAATGCACAAATAAATCTATTATTGCAGATCACTTGAATTCTAATTATATTAACCCTAAACAAGATTATTAATTATCTTATTATGCGTGATTACAAGTACAAATTCTCTTTAAAATTCACAAAAGGTGTGATCAAGCAATAACAATAATAATAATCAAGCAACATAACAACAATAATCATAACAATTATAATCATAATTAAAATAATCATGTTAAAGCATAATAAAAATAGCAAGATTTTAGGCATGATACTAACAAGATTAATAACAAACCCTAGCATGTCACTAAACATCAAAGATTAAACCTTTAACCCTAAAGTAGGGAATTTTCTAAGCATTACCCCAAACTTGAACCCCACTGTGATCATACACTTAAGCATTGTGGCGTCCAAAGGGAAGGAAGCTAGAGCAAAAGAGTCGCCAACAAGTTTTAGGAACGTGTAGACTGTTCACAGGGTGAAGGTTACACCCCTTAACGATCTAAGAGATCGTTAACTCAAATAGGTCTGGAACCAAAACTGGAAGTTCGGGGATGAAGGTACAAATCCAATCTAAAAGAGAATGATCCTACCATAATAATAGATTAATAGGCCTCTTCTTTATTCTGCTCGTATTCATGTGCGCTTTCTGACTAACATGCAATCAATAGATTTACCCTAAACCTGTTTATCTATGTTGGTTCAATATTAATGCACAAACAAAACTATTATTGGCGATCACTTGAATTATAATCAAATTAACCCTAAATAAGATTATTAATTATCTTATTAAGCGTGATTACAAGTACAAATTTCTTTAAACATGCATAAAAGGTGTGATCAAGCAATAACAATAATAAATATCAAGCAACATAATATCATAATAATAATCACAATCATAATAATAATCATAACCATAATTAAAATAATCATGTTAAAGCATAATATTAATAGGAAGATCCTAGGCATGATACTAACAAGATTAATAAAAAACCCTAGCATGTCACTAAACATTAAAGATCAAAGCTTTAACCCTAACATTATACTAACATGATATTAGGAAAGAAAATAAAAGGCATCATGGGAATCATATTTGATATAAGCAAATCACCCTAAATATCATACTAAGGAAAACATCCTAACATGACACTAGGAATCAAAATAACAACCTAAGCATGATTTCGATAAAGGGCATCTGAACGTAACGCTTCCTAGAGGACTCTTCCTTTGACTTTCAGTCTAGTTAATCTATTAGATTGTTGACCCGGCCTCTGAGTTCGTAATAGGCTGAAGTAATGTTCAGCCTATTACCAGATATAGGTATGGAATGATTTTGACCTACCTGGTAGGAATAGAAAGTACTTCCTCTTAGAGCTACTTCCTTTCATTCCTCTCTCTTATGGGGGAGCTCCCCTCGACTCTGACTTTGGTATCTAATAAGTTTTACCTAGCCATAAATGTAAGATTGATTGCTTGCTCTGGTTATAAGCGGTTAAGGTAAAACGGCAATCCCTGCCTTATTCAACTCATAAACAATTAAATTACTAACTTGAATGTCTCGTATCTCTTTCTAGTAACAAAATACACACGTTACTAACTTCAAGGGAAATATAAAATCAAACAATTAAATTAAATAACTAAAAGAGAGATTTGGGACCAAACCCTCATAAATCAAACCTTTCACGTCTAGGGCGAAGGCAACTTCGAACTTGGCTAGGTGTGTCTAGATCTTGTGAATGTGGAATATTGTTTGAGAAAAAGCTAGTTTAGAAAAGAGAGAGAGAGAGGATATCAAGAATTTCTTGATGAGAGTTGGTCCTTGAAAACGGAGGTTTAATGAAGCTATTTATAAAGATAATCAGCCGGATATGATAAAAAAGAATTGGAGTTTCGAAAAGAATAAAACACGAAGCTGTCGCAAAACATGCCCCTGTCGCCAAACGACAGTGTTGTCGCCAGACGTGTCGCCGCGACGCTAGACCTGTTGCCAGGCGATAGCCTGTAGCTGCAGTGCTGCAATTAGTTTTTCCATGCATTTTCTTATTTTAATAAAATTTAAGCGTACGAAGGGGTAAAACTGTAATTACCTTAAAAACACTTCTTTTACTCTAATAAAACTCTTAAAACTCATTAATCAATGTTAATCAAATTAGGATTCAAAAGAACCTTCTAGATGATTCTAGAAGACTATGATCAATCCTAATTGCATTAGAAATGATAAACCATAATAGGCCCTCCTCTAGATCATTGGGCCGCATATAAAAATCAAACTGGGCCCAGCTTAGTAATTTGGCCATAACTTCCTCATTATTCATCGGAATTGGGCTTATAATATATCGTTGGAAAGCTCTTTTTGAGCCCAATCCAACTACACCATTATTGGACCCTTGATATGGACCAAACTAAACTGGATTGGATATTTTCATAAAATAGGTTTTAAAAAACAGAGAGAAAGAAAAGAATTAAAAACTAACCGCAATGCTAGACTTTCCACACTTTTTCTTCATTTAATTATGATTTGACATGAAATGTACTCATCAGTGGGTTTGGTTTTGGGAAGACACAAATGGGTGTCTACAGAAGCCCCCACTTTGACTGAGTTTGGAGAAACACAAGTTTCGAAAAGAAAAGTCAAAGTATCGACAGGAACGAAAAATGATTCAGAACGTTCTGCGATCCTAAATAATTTTTGTAACGCCGATACCTGCAAACTAGCGTTAGTTAAAACATATAAAAGAGTTAAGAAACACGTATCTTGCACCGTCAAGCACACGTCTCTGGGAGTAACCGATTGTTGCTGCATTTGCTGTTGTGACAACCTTCCACAAGCTAGGGAACGCCATCCAGCTGTTTTAACGATCTTCCTCAAGCTAGAGGATACCGCATGAAGACCACTACGCCTGTAACTGCCTCCAATTTCGCCGTGATAGTCTTCTACAAGCTAGAGAACCCTATCCAAGATTGCTTCGCCTGAATCGACCTTCTAGCGCTTTGTGGCCATCTTCCGCAAGCCAGGGAACATGATCAAAGATTACTTCGCCTGAAGCTATCCTCATTTGTTTGTGACAACCCTTTGCAAGCTAGGGAACGCTGCCGAAGACATATTCTCTTGAAGTCATCCTCATTAGTTGTGATAATATTCTGAAGAAAATTACCGCAGACCAACGCTTTGTCGATCCTTTAAAGTTCGCTTGAACTATGCTTTTGCTAGGCCAATGCGTCGATGCTTTTGCTGCTTGTGAACCAGTATGTCGATGCTTTTGAATTATGAACCAGTATGTCGGTGCTTTTTAATTATGAACCAGTATGTCGGTGCTTTTTTTGCTTATGAACCATTATGTCGGTGCCTTTCCAGTGAGCCAATGTTTAGGCGCTTTAAGCTAAGTGAGACGATTATTTATCAGGTCGATCACTTAATGCGATTGTAACCGAGTCGATTACTAAATCATGTCCAATTTCTTATAGGGGCTAACTGGCGTACCAAGGAACCCGAAAATTGCTGTACGAGATCGAAATAACCATTATGAGAGGCTTCGAGCTCTGTCACCGCTGAAACGTCTATGGCGTCGCGATTTTGCTCTGTCGCCAGACGCTGCACTCTGTCGCCCGGGGACAGAGCTTTCGTGAGACGCTTGATTCGGGAATTTCGTATAAATCCCCTTTCTTCCCCGTGTTGCTGCTACTGCTTCATTTATTCGAGCTACGAACCTTCAAATTGCTTGTTCTTGCTCAAAGTATCAACCAAATTTGCTCAAATTTGTTGCAAATAAAAGCTTTGTTCATCTAGTTTCCTGATCTATGTAAGTTTTTTTCCAAAATCACTCGAATTTTGATGAATTTCGCACATATTTGTTCACGAATTTCTTGAAAATTCGAAACTTATATTGCTCAATTTGCTTTGTTTGTCAAATTTTATGCCATGAAATTGCTTGATTATGTTTATATATTGCCTTGGGAGCATTTTGAGACTTGTTTGACTCAATTTGGTGAAGAAACGAACGATTCACCATTGTTGAACCTCTTAAGGTCGGGAAAACAACGTGGGTCGTTCTTGATGTTCTTGCTAGCAATTTTTGTCCAATTTTTCACAATAATTATCATAATATTTGCAAGAAATTGTTTGGTTGCTAGAAAAAGGCCATATATGCTTGAATTAAAATTGTGCTCTGTTTTAGTACTACGTATTCTCACTAGTAGAAAAATGCTCATTTGCGTCACCTTATTTGCGTCACTCATAGAAACAAATGACGCAAATAATATATTTTAGCTTCACTATAAGTAATTTGCGTCGCACATTAACTACAAAGCGAAGCAAAAGTCTGATATATTTCAGCTTAATCATATTTGCGTCGCTTTCATAAATAAAAACGACGCAAAAGATAATGTTATTTGCGTCGCTCATTTATTGACAGGTGACGCAAGTAGCTTTGTGAGTAAATTGCGTCACTTCTTTCTTTATTAAGTGAAGCAAATGATTATTACAATTACAATCCACTCAACTCTTCCTCACATTCAATATAAAACACTCTTGCTGCCATGTCGCCGTTCGAACTTCAAAACCCTAGAAGCTTCAACTGAAAAATCCCCTAAAACTCAACATCAAAACCTCAAGAAATTTTTCTAACTAGCCGAATATCCAGCACTGCCTTGTTTTCGTTCGTACTGCAAAACCCTAGCGAATTCAACAGCAAAACCCTGATAAATTCGACCCCAAACCAACAAATTTGACCCCAAAATCAATAAATTCAACTAGTAATTGAAAACCCCAGAATATCCAAGCCAAAACCCCCCATTTTCAAGCAAATCCGAGGAAAAACACCCTATTTTTGAGCAAAAATCGACCAAAACCCCCACGAAATTCGAACTATTAAAACCGCTGATAGTCGAGATGAAATACTCTACATCGAGGCTAGCAAGGGATTGCTGCTTGTTGGTGTTGCTGTTGATGGTTAGAAGGGGAAGCAGTGGAGATGGTTGACAGTAATAAGAGGTGCGAAATTATCGTTTTAAGTAATAAGAAGTGCGAAATGATTTAATTTCGATTGATTTAAACTATTTGATTAAATTATCATTTTATTCTATTGATTTATATGATGTTTTTAATTTTACTGTAATTAAAGTCGCGAAATGATTTTAATTTTATAAGGAATTTAACTTAGTAGATGATGTAGGGTCAAAATTTAATTTCATGAGTGTGTATTGATTTTGGCGTGAAATTAAAAAATTAATTTGGTGTTATAGTTGAATTTTTGTTTAGTTTGTTATATGTTGATTGGAATTTTGTCAGATTATTGATTTAGTGTAATAATAGATTCTTATTACAAAATTAGTAGATTTTCCATTATAAAAATAAAGTATTTGTTTCTATATCAGATTACTTCTAGAGTATTGCTTAATTATATAGACTTTTTCTTGTTTGATCGAGTGTTTGTATCTAGATATACAGTTAGATTAGTGAATTACTTGGTGCAGGTGTGCAGCAGGTGCTTGTGGTTGATGGTGAGTGCGGTGGTCTGGCCTAGTGTAGTGGGCAATTTGTTGCAGATAGCTATTTTGTTGTTGAGTTGTTTGTGAATTGCAGGGGATAATGTCAAGGTTTCTCTCTCTTATATTTAGATTAACTCTAATCTTATTGTTATTCAGAGAATTTTCTAGTTTAGTTATTCTATAATTTGAGGTAATAATTAATTTCTTACTTGATTCTCTCATATTAAAGGTAATTTAACATTACAATCGAAGGTTTTAAAAAAAAATACAATTGAAGCGGCATAATCTAGTTTTTCATTACCGAATAAGAATTTTAAGAGAAGTAGTCAAAATAATGACACAATGTTATTCCTTTGTTTTGTGTATGATATTGTTTACCTCAAATTGAAATGATGATGTTAATTACTACTTAATGATAAAGTGATTATGAGTTGATGGCATTCTGTTTTTGCATTTCGTATTTTAAGAAAATAATGGCACTGCAATTTCATTTTGTTTTGTGTACGAGAAGACAAGTACAATGAACATGTTTAAGCTAGACATATAAACTTTGGTAAAACAGGACTAAACTTATTAGGGCCGTGATTAATAGCAATTGTAGCTTAAATTGGTCCATAGTTTTTGTGTATGTTATTAATCAAATAATGAAATAATCACCCAACCTTCCAACAGTATATTAACTCTGTAGAGTTCTAGCTGAAATCTAATCTTTAACAGTCCTCATCACCAAGTGTTCGAATCGAAGGTATCATGATCTTACTCTGGAGTCAATGAATGATGCTAACAATGTAAAGAATGCAAAATTCGAATAATACGTTACTAGAATTCCCATTAGTTACTGTAATAGTTGCAATTACAGAATTTACAGGAAGAATCATTGAAGAAGATTGATTTTGATTTAATATATGTATAATCCTTAAATCATGGATATAAATTTATCAAAAATGAATATAATGGTCTATTTTTCTCTTTAAAATTGTGAATTAAGTTCTAATCCGAGATGTTTTTCTCTTTAAAATGTGGTGAGAATGATATGATTAGTATTCTTATTTTTCATGCTTAGGTTTTATCTTGTTTGAAATGAGTTGAATGAGTCTATTGACTTTGTGGCTATGATGCGAGCGTGTAGTGTCATCAAAAATTGGGAGGAAGTGAGATGTGGCTACTATATCGTGCACTATATGTTTGAAACAGTTTAACATCACCGTAGTAATGAGGATCTTGTTAGTACGTGTTGTCAGATATTTCACTACTAATTCATCAATTTATTTTAAATTGGCTACATTCTTGAATTGATTAGTTTTTGTTTTTGTGTTGTGTTAACAGGATTTTTCAAGAACAATACCTTATAATGGGGAGGAGATAAATGAGGTTCGAGATATTTAGTCAAACTTTTTCATGATCAACGTTGAAATTTAGATTTAAACTTAGCTAAATCCATTTGTTGTTAGACTTTTTTTTTGTTTTAGTTCTTAGGCTTGAAATGAATGTATTTGGGGTACCAACATTTTGGGTTGGTCTTTGTTCTTGTGTTGGTTGATGATATCAATAATTTTGAGTTGTAAAATTTTGAGACTCTGCCGAAATTTACATTTGCATTCAATAATATTGCATTTTAATTTCAATTATTAGCGTTAGCATATTACTTTATACCACTAGCAAGGAAAACAGGTACTACAAACATATACAAGAAATTATTATAATTAAATAAAAAATTCACCTCATTTGCGTCACTCATTAAACAAACAAGTGACGCAAATAAAGCAATTTTGTATTGTCTAGTCAGTCATTTGCGTCACTCCTATATAAACAAGTGACGCAAATAACAAACAAGAAGTTGATCAGACCAGCTATTTGTGTCACTCCTTTATCAAAGAGCGACGTAAATAAGAGTCATTTGCGTCGCTCCTTTATAAAGGAGTGACGCAAATAACTCTTATTTGCGTCACTCCTTTATAAAGGAGCGATGCAAATGACTCTTATTTGCGTCGCGCCTAGGAGCGACGCAAATGACTTTTAAATCATTTGCATCGCGAGCAGTTGCGTCGCTCATAGAAGCGACGCAAATACACTATAAATGAGCGACGCAAATGAGCCTTTTTCTACTAGTGTCTGTTTTTTGCGAACATAGTATCATGCGGCTAGGCAAACCTTAGATACTATAGAAACTTAATTATTGTCAATTTTGCACAATATAGTATGGCTAGATAGCGAGGTTTGGGTTCACGGTCCCAAGAGATGCGACGGAAGCATGAGCCCGTTGAGGAGGACCCCGACCCGTCCACTTCTCCCGGTCCCTTCCCCGAGTGGGATGAGCGGACACTGTACTTTGCCCCTGACCACCACATTTCTGAGAAGGTGCGTCGCGGGATTACTAGTGGTAGGACGCTCTGCCACGGTTCGGGTAATGACACCCTAGGCAAGCTGTACAACACATATTTTAGCGACGATGAGGGATTGCAACTTCTCTGGGAGTCTTGTGGGCTGACTGCCCTATTTCGGGCCACGCAGGCCATGGACTCTTTTGACGCGAGTCACCGCATGGTTCGTGCTTTGGTGGAGTTATTCTGGGACACCACCAACACTTTTCACTTTCCTTGGGGTGAGATGATGGTCACCCCAGCTGACTTCTGTCTCATCTCGGGACAGGAGTTTAGTTTGATTGCACTACCATTCGACAACTCCATTAGTGTTTTCTCTCCTGAGGTTGATGAGCTGTTGGGTCTGATTGCTATTCGGGCCCGTGCTAAGGTGGAGCCATCACGATTTAGCTCCAAGTGCATTCGTCGGTCTATTTGGCGACAACTTTTGAGGACGATGCGACCACCCGAGAGCAGCGGGTGCGCATCTTTGCACTTATTTTGCTATCAGGGACGTTTTCTTGTGACAAGGGTAGTAGGGTGTTGCTTTACTACCTTCCCGCTGTCCGCGATCTTCAGCTGATCGCGACTTATGACTGGGCCAGCTTGGCCTATGTTGACTTTCTGCTCACATTGCGAGACTCCTGTCGACACCGGTCTTACACAGGAGACATCGCTCTTTCCTGCTTCTGGAGAGTCGTAGAGGTATACTTTATCTCTTAAAAATTTAGCTCTAAGCTCTTGTTAGCGCTTGTTGATATCTTTTATTTTTGTAGATTTGGTTCTACGAGTACTTTCCTTCACTTGCGCCAGCAAGGCCATCTCCACGCGAGTTCCCTAATGGCGCCTGTTGGGGAGGCCGCTACAGCAACCGGGCGTCTACAGCCCGTGTTCGAGAGCTGATCCTCTGAGTATGTTCTTTTGCATAGTTAACATCTTTGTATTGCTTTTGGTAGAGCTTTATCTCATAGGCATTTTTTGCAGGAGCCCGACGTGCTATACCGGCCAAGGGGCAATTTGGTGATCCCTGCGCTGGCTGCGCAGTACACTGCTGAGTGTTGCTACTTCCTAGGGACATATGAGGCAGTAGTGTACCTAGGAGAGAGAGTTTCTATTCAGCACTCCTCAGAGATTCTTGTCGTCCTTGCTCCTCCGCCACGTCATATGTTCAATGACGCGAGGCTGGTCAGCTTATTAGAGAGGTCGCCTGCTGGTACCCCTTGGTAATCTCATGTTATCTCAGGGCAGTGCTATGAGGAGGAGCTGCTGCCATTGTTAGCTTCGGCCCCTGTTTTGTCTGAGGAGGCGACGGTATGATTTTTATCTTTTACCTTTTGCTAAGTAGCCCCCAAGTGACTTTTTATTCACTTTGGTTTGCTTTTTGCCAGACCAAGCCTACTTAGTTCGTTCCCCGTCGTATGTCCATCCATTATCAAGGGACATACGGGCCTATTGAGGAGATGACCCCTCCAGCTCCCGAGGATCAACGCTTTGTTAAGCGATCTATTCCTCGCCACTAGACTTGGGTGTGTTATTTACTTGCCTTTTGTTCATATCTGTCTTGTATTGTTACTGATTTTATTTCTTTGACAGTTCTCGCACGAGGTGGTCACGGCGATGGCGAGGTGCATAGACGCCTTTCGAAGCCAGCTCGTGCGGATGAGGAACGTGGCTTCCTATCTTCGCGACAACACCGTTCAAGAGGTAGTTTTTTTTTTAATTTTTATTTCTGCATTAATTTTATTTCTATTTTCGTTGCCTCTCTTTCTTACAGGGACAACCTATTCCTTCACGTACTCGGACGAGGCCCGAGGTTCAGAGAGAGCCGGCTAGGTCTAGATCGTGGCGTCGCCGCACTACTTCTGGTGGTCAGGGTTGCTGATCTGATGCTTCCTGGACCGAGGCGGTGGAGGACTCGAGCTCTTCGTTTGAGAGTGCACATGTGGACCGATAGGCTAGGGAGAGGTGACTTCAGCTCCGAGAGGTGGTGGGACGTACAAGGTCGGCTCATCGTCGCAGCAGCCTCCACAGCCTCAGCCTCTACTGATTCATCACCAAGACGACCTTGGCCGGACGGAACCTGAGTTGAGTTTCCCTCCTCCAGGAGAGACCGGAGCTGGTGGGGAGCATATTCCTCGTTCTGCGCAGTTCTTTGACATGATGAACATTCCTCAGCATCTGTGTCCTCCAGCGCCGTAGTTGTACCTGTGTTGTTTATTTATTTTGACTTTTATAGGACTTTGCCTGACTGACATATTTGTTAGACAAATTTTGTATATACAGACTTTTATCTATTATGAATGTATTATTTTTGCATTTATTTTTCATTTTCATGTGCATATGTGTGTGTGCAAAAATTATGATTAATTTTACACAAAAATTTCCGTCATTTTTGTTATTAATTGAGGGTATCCGACTTTCTCCCCAAAACAAAAATTGAAAAATAAATTGGACTTAAAACAAACCTGAAATTAATTAAGTTTGAATAAATCCAAAAAGAAAATAGAAGGAAAATATATTAAATAAATATGTATGTCGTAAAGTCATTGTACGAATTCGAATCATAGCAAAAAAACGCGGTTTGAATAACGCGTTTGAGGAAACGTTGTAGAGCCACGTGTCGCCATGCGTTTTGCACTGTTGCCTAACGATGCTGCTGTCGCTAGGCGACAGGGTTGTCGTTTGGCGCTGCAGTGCGCTGATTCTGAGTTCTTTCCGGAGTCAAACTGCATCGATTTTGTGCATAAATAGCCTCCTGATCTGCTGAATTTCCGTATAATTCCAACAGGTTAATCATTATCTTAGTTTCTCAACAAATAATCATATCTTTAGTTACTAAGAGTTTTAGCAATTTCACTCGTGAATGGTGTCGGTCTTTAACTGCTAAAGAGAGAAAAGAACTCGACTTTCACATGGGAGGTATTTATGGTGTTAAGGGGGTAGATCTTGATATAGATTTTATTCATACTGCCTTAGAATATTAGGACACAAATACACATTGTTTTAGATTGGGGTGTGATGAAATTAGCCCTTTACCGGAAGAATTTGCATTAGAATTTGCGGTAATCCCTAGAATAAAAGAATATTATTATAAATATTTTGAGCGCTTCTTTAATTTAAGAGACCGAGATCTAACAAATATTGTAGATGGTAGTGTAGTTAGTTTAAAAGAATTTGCACGCTTGTAGACACCTAAAAATGTCTCCCCAAAACCAAACCCGATGATGAACAACCTTTCATCGCCATTATTGGTCGGGTTGAGTATTAAATATTGAAGTGCTTAAATAAATATTTACATTTCATAAACCTATTCAATTCCTAGCCAATTTCCCCAAACCATAACTCATTTTCCTCTTTTTGTGCCTTTAAACCAAAAGTAATTCATTTCGTGTCCATAATCTGGGTCCAATGATTGAAAAGTTGGATGGGGTTTGAAAAGAGCTTTCCAAAGATATATTATAAGCCCAAATCCGAGTTATAACGAATAAGTTATGGCCAAAATATTAAACTTAGCCCAAACCGAACCTAAGCCCACCTTACCTACGACCCAATGATCATGTGGAGGGTCCAAAAGCTTTAATCCCATTCATAAACCAATAAGGATTAATTGGAAGCTTCTATTAGTTTCTAAAATATCTTAATTATTCCTTTTTGAAAAGATAAGATTAAAGAGTTTCAAATTGAATAAAACTTTTCTTTTTGAAAATTCTAATTCTATTCAAATTGAAATACGTTCAAAGATAGTCATATATTATTTTAGTGTCTCATAGATTTTATCCAAATTTTATATGGTTGAATAACCCTTGAAATTATCTTTCCAATGATATATTATAATATCAATTCCGAGCTATAACGGAAAAGATATGAATAAAATATCAAACTTTATTCAAAACTGTCACCGTCTCACTATTTCAAAAATATCTTTTATTCTACAAAATATTTTAACCTGATTCTAATTGGAATAGAAATTATACTTCAAGAGATTTCCAACGACATCATATTTATGTGATTTCGATATCTGGATCAAAAGATATGATAAAAACAAAAACCGCAAAAACTGCAGTCTATCGAGTTTTATTCCGATTTAATTCGGATCTTATCTTGTTTTTTTTACCCTTCTTTTTTCTCAATAAATAGAGGTAATATCTCCCCTTTTTCAATCATCAAAAAGTTTGATCACAAAATAATTCTTTTCTCCCTCTTTATCCTAAACACTAGCCATCCTATTCTCTCATAATACTTCCCCTAAGCACTCCAAGCAGTCCATA